CAGTTTCCTCTGCAATACATCAACTCTCTGGAGCCCCTCAACCTGCCTGGTTGAGAATCCAGGGTTTTCAGCTTGATTTTGACCGTGGCAGGACACCGCACTGCCACATATATATGACCTAACTGTAGTTGCCTAAGTAAACAGTGCATTGAGGTTGGCTTGTAAGTTGGAGACATCCTGTAAGGACTTTATTCCACTGAACAGCCTGGTGTCATCTGCAAAGACTGAAGTGGTATTTTTAATCTCAGACCCTATATCGTTTATAAATATAATATAAAGTAAGGGTCTCAACACTGAACTTTGGGGTACACCACTGACAGCTCTAGACCATTCAGAGTATGAATCATTAATCACTACTCTCTGAATACGATCTTTTAGCCAGTTTTCTATCCATTTTAATACAGATTTTTCGAAGCCTGTATACTTTACCTTACATATTAGCCGTGTGTGGGGAACTGTGTCAAACGCTTTTGCAAAATCCAAGTATACCACGTCCACTGCCACCCCTCTGTCCAAGGTTTTGCTTACCTCCTCATAAAAAGAAATTGGATTTGTTTGACAACTCCTGTCTTTCATGAATTCAATACAGCACAGCCATCCAAAGCAGTGTGATTACAGTAAAGCACACACACAGAGGTTACAGTGAAACCACACACAGTTAACCCTTTGATCGCACCTCATGTTAACCCCTTCCCAGTGCCATTAATATAGTGTCAGTGCTTTTTTTTTTCTTAGCACTGACCACTGTATCGGTGTTAGTGACACCAAGTCCGTTCCCCCCCAGTGTCAGAATGCCCACCACAGTACCGCTATAAGTGTTGCTGATTGCTGCCGTTACTAGTATATATACACCGCCATTTGTAAACGCTATAACTTTCACGTAAACCAATTAATTTACACGTATTGAGATTTTTTTTTTGTAGCAAAGACATGTAGCAGAATACATTTTGGCCTAAATTTATGATGAAATTTTGATTTTTTTTCTGCACATATTTAATAGCCAAAAAGTCAAAAAATTGTTTTTTTTTTTTCTCAAAAGTGTTGGTCTTTTTTTTTTTTTTTTTTTTTCCAAAAAGAAAGCCTTTATTAAGAAAGAACATAATGGTACAAAAGACATGTATAAGGGTGCCTAAGCGAAACAGCAGAGGCACAACCTACAACGATACAGCAGTAACTCAAACAAGAAAATACAGATAATGATAATGCAATAAACAAAACCCGACTACAATAAGGTTATGCTTGCAACAAACCGGAGCCAATATAGTATAGTATGGGGTGTAATTGCATCTTATAATATTTGCGCTCGTGCTTCGTCAAGCAGGGCTGTAGCGATAGGAAGAGTGATCATGGCATCTGAACGTAGGAATTGGACAAAAAACTTATGGCAAAGAGTTACAAAATCGGCACATATTGCGGTAGGAGCCGTTGATGGAGGTGGGGAGAGTGAAGGATGGCATGTCTAGTGTTCCAGGTAGCATAGCAAAGCGAGAGGCGAGAAGAAAAAGAAAGGAGAAAAGAGAGAAAGGGAAATAGAGAGAAAAGTGATAGAAACAGAAAGAGGGGGATGGAGGTGGAAGGTGAAGAAGAAAAAAAAAAAAAAAAAAAAAAAAATTTTTGCAAAAAATAAATTAATGGGGGGGGGGGGAAACATATGGGGTGAGTAATGACAGCAATATCTGGGGTTACTCATGCATGGGGATAGGAGTTAAGCTAACGCCAGAGTCGCGTTATACATTGTCGAGTCTCAGTGCCTATCACAAAAAACTACTGTAAAGAAGTAACAGCAGCAGGAAAGCCGGACCAAGGTCTTTTTTTGTTTTTTATAACGCAAAAATTAAAAAACAGGCAATCAAATACCACCAAAATGAAAGCTCAATTTGTGGGAAGAAAAGGATGTAAAATTTAATTTTGATGCAGCGTTGTATAAACAAGCAATTGTCACTTAAAGTAACACAGTGCAGTAACTGAAAAAATGGCCTGGTCAGAAAGGGGGGTAAATCCTCAGGAGGGCAAGTGGTTAAACGGTGATAGTGTTCCTTCATTTTTATATTTAATAAAAGCTCTTTTGTTATTATCTCTAGCTTTTTTAACTTTGGCCATGAGCCACATAGGTTTGATTTTTAGCCTTTTAAACTTGTTGTCCATGGGAATGTATTTTGTAGTGTGTTCACATACAGTCTACATTTCAGGTTACCTTTGTGTCCTTGGGACCTGAACTTGATTTTGAAGGTTTTGCAAGAACCACCATTTGAGCCTATTAGAGAAATTCCACTGCTCCTGTTGACTAGTAAGGTTTTGTTTCTAGTGGCAATCACTTCTGTAAGAATGGTGTCGGAGCTGGCAGCTCTTTCTTGCAGAGAACCATTTCTGGTTTTTACATCATGATTAGGTGGTGTTGTGACCTCAACCGACTTTTTTTTTAGTAAAGGTGGTATCTAGCTTTCATCTCATTAAGGATATTGTTCTGCCTTCATTCTTTCCTAGTCTCAGTCAGCAAGAGAAAGATCTCTGTATACCTTGGATGTGGTACTCGCTGTAAGGGTGTTCCCGGAGGTCACAGCACAGGTCAGGAGGTCAGATGCTCTGTTCGTGTTGCCAGAGGGACCTAAGCAGGTACAGACGGCATCCAAGGCGACTATTTCACATTGAATATGCCAATTGATCGTTCAAGCCTATGGTTTAAAAGGTAAGGTCCCACCCTTTTGGGTGAAGACACGCTCTGCCAGGAGTGTGGGGCATCCTGGCTCAGGTTTACAAGGCTGCTTCATGGTCTTTGGTTCACATATTCACAAAGTTCTTCCAGGTGGATGTTAGAACTGCAGATGATTCTGCCTTTGGCTGCAGTGTTTTACGGATGGCTGAGTAGGTCCTGAGGGATTATTGACAGTGATTATCATGATGTCACCCTCCCCTCATATTCTTTGCTTTGGGACATCTCACATAGCCATGAATAGCCTTCTCCATAGATGTACGATAGGGAGCCTGCTCCCATGATGTACGATAAAGAGAACTGGATTTTTTTCTATATGCATACCTGTAAAATCCATTTCTTGGAGTACATCAGGGGACACAGGTCCTGCCCTTCTTTCTGGATTTTCATTGTTTGCTACAAAAACTGAAGTACTTCCGGTGTAGGAGGGGTTATATAGGGGAGGACTTCCTCTCTGATTGGTGCGCCAGTGTCCATTCACCTATAGGTGGCATATAACCCACATAGTCATAAATAGCCTGCTCTGTGTCCTGTGATGTACTCCAAGAAATGGATTTTACAGGTAAGTATGTAGAAAATAATCCAGCTATTTTTTGTGGCAGTCATGTCATTGAGACAGGTCTTGGAACAGGCTTGCCTTATCTTGTAAAGAACCATTAATTGGTCTTCATAAGGACAAGATGGTTTTGAGGCCTCAGGCCTCCTTTCTTTCCAAGGAGGTTTCTCCCCTCAGCTTAATCAGTGCATCGTCCTGCCTTCTCTTTGTCCAGCTCCAAAGCATCCCAAAATGTTTTTTTTTTTTCACACTGTTTAAATGTGATACACACAGTATGAGTTTACCTCTTGGCCACTGATTCAAACCTGAAACTCGAATACTCTTTTTGTCCTGCCTGCCTGCTCTTTCAGGGGGTATCCTGCATCTCATTCCACTATTTCTAAGTGAATTAGGCAGGTTATTTCTAATGCATATGCTTTGAAAGATAGGAATCCTTAATTTCTTGTGAAGGTTCTCAATTTGTTTAGTGTGTACTTCTTGGGCCTTTCAGCACCAGGTTTCAGTTTCTCAGATTTTCAAGGCCACCACCTGATCCTCTGCTCATGTTTGTTTTTACCAGGTAGATGTTCAGGCCTCTGCTGGTGCTATCTTCAGTGGTAGGATGCTTCGAGCTGCTCTTTGGGAATCATATTTCTTTATTTTGCCCTGTTGGCATTCTGTTATGTGTTGTCCACCCCACAATTATATTGCTTAGTGTCATTCCATTTTTCTTACCTTTAAAATCCTTTATAGTACAGGACACACTGCACCCTTACCTCTGTTCTGGTGTATCCACTTAATGCTTGCTAAAAAAAAATAGTATTGGTAGGAGAAGGAGGGATTATATAGGTTGCCGTAACAGTTTTTTTGCAGTGTCCTCACCTGAAAGTGGCAGCATATATCCCATGGCCTTGATTAATGAATGTCTGTGTCTTTTGCTTTACTCCCAAGAAGAAAAATCCTTACCTGTAAAATCCTTTTCTTGGAGTACAGTATTGGACATCCTCCCCTCTACTCTGGTGTATCCCCTTACTGCTTGATAAAAAAAAAAAGTGGGGATTGTTTGTAGTAGGAGGTATTATATGGACTGTCCTGTTCAGTTTTCCTCACTGAAGGTGGCATAATATAACCCATGGTCTTGATTAATGTAAATCCGTGGCCTGCTCTGTACTCCAAGAAAAGGATTTTACAGTTAAATAAACCTTATTTTTTTTGTGTCCTTACTTTCTGTTCTAGTGACCCCTTTCTTAGGGACAAAATTGAAGGCACATCTGCCCAACTAACAAACTGTAGTAATTAACCTGTACTAACGCGTATGCTGCCTGTTACTGTTACTTTACTAATATAAATAAAGCACATGTTCACGTTAATTTGGGACTTTGATTAAAAAATTGACTTAGAAAAATTGTAAGGTTTCTAATCATATCTGTGCTTTCATTGTGCTGATTTACACTCCTAATTGTGGCAGTCACAATAAAAGGATATTATGGAAAGTAGTTCTGAGCTGGTGCGTTGCATCATTGCCTATATTGCTATATATAGTTGGCATAATGTGAATTATAATGTAATGTGGGGAAAAAGCCCTCCTATGAGAAAGTCCTAGTCTGCAAATGTTCAGAAGCATAGGTACCATTAGGCCCTAAAAGTAGAATAGTTAAAAACACATAGGAACAAAAACACCCCAGTCTTCTGAATTTGAAGCAGATTCTGCACATAGAGAAAGAGTATTGTTTATTAATCATCTTTCATTTGCAGATTGCTGGATTTGACATTGATGGAACAATTATCACAACAAAGTCCGGAAAAGTCTTCCCAACTAATGCTGATGACTGGAGGTAAATGGGCCTTCAGGCAATAAACAATATAATAAAAAGCGACTTGGGTTGCAATACTGACCGTTTAATTAGGAGCTTCCCTGTGCAGTACATCTGAATAAGGATTTTTTGTACTTACTGTAAAAATCCTGTTTCATTGACAGATACAGCTCTCGTACCTTTAGCTATTTGGCAATTGTTTGTACTGCTTTGTTCCAGTTTAGCTTTCCTAGCAATGTGGAGGGTTTGGCCACCAGGAGGTGACACTATAACCCAGTTGCCAGGATTTAGCAATCAGAGCTGTGTGCACCAGTGAACTTAGAGAAAAAGATTTTAACAAACTTAGTGATCATTTAAAGCCCAACAACAGGCTTAGGCAGCTGCTCCCAAATTGCTAATACACCCCCCCACCCTTCACCCGAAGGCTCTGCATGTACAGTTCATTTTGAGATACTGTATATAGATAGATATGTACTGTGCAAACGTTTTTGAAGGAACTCAGCAGGTTCCAAACATCAGTTGAAAAAAAAATATATATATAATGTGTGTGTGTGTGTGTGTGTGTGTGTATGTGTGTGTATATATGTGTGTGTATGTATGTATGTATGTGTATATTTATACAGTATCTCACAGAAGTGAGTACATCCCTCACATTTTTTGTAAATTTTTTGTTATATCTTTTCATGTTACAACACTAAAGAAATGACACTTTGCTACAATGTAAAGTAGTGAGTGTACAGCTTGTATAACAGTGTAAATTTGCTTTCCCCTCAAAATAACTCAACACACAGCCATTAATGTCTAAACCCCTGGCAACAAAAGTGAGTACACCCTTAAGTGAAAATGTCCAAATTGGACCCAATTAGCCATTTTCCCTCTTCTGTGTCATGTGACTGGGCATTTATTTATTTTAGGTACTTGTATAACACCGTCAATTTACGCAGTGCTTTACATATATATTGTACATTCACATCAGTCAATAACCCTAAAAGCGTATACAATCTAAGGTAGTGTTACAAGGTCTCAGGTTGGAATGGGGAGCAGGTGTGTTAAATTTGGTGTTATCGCTCTCACTCTCTCATACTGGTCACTGGAAGTTCAACATGGCACCTCATGGCAAAGAACTCTCTGAGGATCTGAAAAAAAGAACTGTTGTTCTACATAAAGGTGGCCTAGGCTATAAGAAGATTGCCAAGACCCTAAAACTGAGCTGCAGCACGGTGGCCAAGTCCATACAGTGGTTTAACAGGACAGGTTCCACTCAGAACAGGCCTTGCCATGGTCAACCAAAGAAGTTGAGTGCACATGCTCAGCATCATATCCAGAGGTTGTCTTTAGGAAATAGATGTATGAGTGCTGCCAGCATTGCTGCAGAGGTGGAAGGGGTAGGGGGGGTCAGCCTGTCAGTTCTCAGACCATACACCGCACACTGCATCAAATTGGTCTGCATGGCTGTCGTCCCAGAAGGTAGCCTCTAATAAAGATGATGCACAAGAAACTCACAAACAGTTTGCTGAAGACAAGCTGACTAAGGACATGGATTACTGCAGTGTTTCTCAACTCCAGTCCTCATGGACCCCCAACAGGTCATGTTTTCAGGATTTCCCTCAGATGAAACAGCTGTGGTAATTACTAAGGCAGTGAAACTGATCAAATCACCTGTGCAAAATAGTGGAAATCCTGAAAACATGACCTGTTGGGGGTCCATGAGGACTGGAGTTGAGAAACACTGGATTACTGGAACCATGTCCTGTGGTCTGATGAGACTAAGATAAACTTATTTAGTTTAGAGGGTCTCAAGCGTCTGTGACGGCAACCAGGTGAGGAGTACAAAGACAAGTGTGTCTTAGCTACAGTCAAGCATGGTGGTGGGAGTGTCATGGTTTGGGGCTGCATGAGTGCTACTGGCACTGGGGAGCTACAGTTCATTGAGGGAACCATGAATGCCAACATGTACTGTGACATACTGAAGCAGAGCATGATCCCCTCCCTTTGGAGACTGGGCCGTAGGGCAGTATTCCAACATAACGACCACAAACACACCTCCAAGATGACCACTGCCTTGCTAAAGAAGCTGAAGGTAAAGGAGATGGACTGGCCAAGTTTGTCTCCAGACCTAAACCCTATTGAGCATCTGTGGGGCATCCTCAAATGGAAGGTGAAGGAGCGCAAGGTCTCTTAACATCCACCAGCTCCACAATGTCATCATGGAGGAGTGGAAGAGGACTCCAGTGGCAACCTGTGAATCTCTGGTGAAGTCCACGCCCAAGAGGGTTAAGGCAGTGCTGGAAAATAATGGTGGGCACACAAAATATTGACACTTTCGGCCCAAGTTGGACATTTTGACTTAGGGGTGTACTCGCTTTTGTTGCCAGCGGTTTAGGCATTAACCTCCTTGGAGGTATTCCCGAGTGCAGCTCGGGGTAAAGTTTCAGCACCACAAGTGGTAACCTGAACTACACTCAGGAATACCCTGCAGCGTTGCTCCGGGATCCCTCGATCACTTACCTTGTCCTTCGCTCTAACGATGTCCCCCTTGCAGCATCCCCGGCCATCTCCTCCAGCCGATGCCGGCATCTGTCTTCCGGGTTCCGTTCCTTGCGACGTCAGGATGTACGGGGACGTAACTAAGGGAAATTTAAAAATTTTAGAAAGGGACATTCACTAATACACTAAAATCACATAGTAAAACATTACTGTATCAAATAATTTCACATACATTTTATCCCTAGTGTTTTTGTCCTGTGCCCTGCCTGCATTTTTACTGTTCTTTCTGCCTGGAAATTGAGAAACGTCCATGGCATCCAAAAAGCGTCCCTTTTAGGTCAAAAGCGGTTTTATACCAGCTAAAGAACAGTGATAGTAACTTAGAACCACTTTCAGAATTGAGTGATAATGATTCGTGGGGAAATTTGTTATCAGACACTGAAAACGATTTTGCGACCAAGATCAGTGATGTGCGAACTTGGCGCTATATTTCAAATTTCAGTGTTTTTGGTTTGATTACATTGTTGAATTAAATTTATTATTATATTATTATTTTTATGATTATTTATTAACCACTTCCAGACCGGACACTTTTACCCCCTTCCTGACCAGGGCAATTTTCAGCTTTTAGCGCTGTCACTCTGAATGACAATTGTGCGGTCATGCAACACTGTACCCAAATGAATTTTTTACCATTTTTTTGAGACAGATAAAGCTTTATTTTGGTGGTATTTATTCACCACTGGGATTTGTATTTTTTTGCTATGTAAATGAAATGTCCAAAAATTTTTTAAAAAAAAGTTTTTTTTATAAAATTTTGCAAATAAATAATATTTCATCATAAATCTTAGCCAAAATGTATTCCGTTATCTTTTTAGTAAAAAAAAAAAAAAAAAAAAAAATCCAAATTAGTTTATAAGCAAAAATTATAATTTTTAAACATTTTTTTTTACATTTTTATTTTTTTTTTTATATTATTATTATTATTTTTTTTTTTTACATACTGTCACCCTAGCAGTACAGTGTCACCATGGTGACACTGTACTACTTGTGGGGGGGGTGATGAAGATTTTTTTTTTTTTTTTTTTTTACACATTGCTTTTACACCCATATAGGATGTAAGAGCAATCATTTCTCTCTTTCTCTCTGTGTGCATTCTTGCACTCATTGATAAGTACTGAGTGAGCTGTGATTGGTCACAGCTTGTCACATGGTACAAGGCTTTTGTGAATAGCCTTGTACCATGTGACCTCTGTGATCATTCACAGATTTCACACGTAGTAAGCAATGATGTCACAAGTGACATCTTGCTTACTACTTTGCATGTGATCACTGATTGGCCAATCAGTGATCACATGATCGGGACCTCGTACAGAGGTCCCGTCCGACGATCGGTGTTTCACTGTGTCCGGAGGACACAGCGGGCACCGGATCGCGGTGCTGCACGCTCCCAGGGAGCGCGCACAAGCAGGGTGCGGGGAGACCGTTTATAGACGGCCACCCGACCCTGCAGTGCCACCGTCCGGCCGTTTATATACAACGGCCGGACGGGAAGTGGTTAAATTATATATAAATATTTCCATGCAAAAAAATTTACCACTTTGAGCACAGAAATCCTGACATAATCATTTCGTTAGGGAGGCTACTGGCTGTGTGTTGAGTTGTTTTGAGGGGACAGCAAATTTACACTGTTATACATGCTGTACATTCACTACTTTACATTGTAGCAAAGTGTCATTTCTTCAGTGTTACAAACAAAAGATACCTGTGCTCAAATCCCAAAAGCTAGTGCATGCATTTTTCCATCAGGTGCTAAAGGGGTGTAACCACATATTAACACTAGAAATTCTGAAAGACCCTCTGCACACTGGTATATACCCTTTCAAGCAGACTATGCAATAAATAGGGATATTTAGTTCACACGTATTGCAATACATGCTTAAGCTGGCCAACTGCATCAAAGTAATCCCTCTATGGCCAGTCCTACTCTGCTCTGCCTACGCAAATGCTACTGTGGACACAATGCTAACATAGGGGAAAATACACAATGGGGGAGGGCTACAAGGTTCAGTGTTACACCCCTTTAGCACCCGATGGATAAATGCGTGCACTAGCTTTTGGGATTTGAGCACAGGTATCTCTTGTTTGTTGTATTGTTGAGACCTGAACCTTGTAGCTCTCTCCCCAGGGTGTATACCAGTGTGCAGAGGGTCCTTCAGAATTTCTTCAGTGTTGTCACATGAATAATAAAATATTTACAAAAATGTGAGGGGTGTACTCACTTCTGTGAGATACTGTGTGTATATATGTGTGTGTGCATATATATATAATATATACACACACACTGTATATAAAACAAAGGATGAATCAAAATTAAGATTCAAAATAATTTACAATTTGTGACTTCCAGCCAGACTTATGGAAAAGTTTTCAGACATTGGATGATGATGATGGAGCAAAAGAAATGCAGGAAGTTGTTTACAGCAGTTTCTAAAATCCAGTATTTTGGACTTTACAGAAACTTTTACCGCAGGAAATTAGACTATAGGGTGACAGGGCAGATTTGATTGGAAACCTGCCTGAAAAAAAATACCACACCTTTAGAGAATAAAGACATTTCCTTTGTACAAAGATAAAGATGATCAGTTTAAGTGGAGTGGGAGGCCAGATTGGATGAAACTTCATTCAAACTAAACTTGATATGCTATATATGGATATGCAAAATACACAGATGGAATAAGAAAAGTTTAAAGAAAAAATAATTGTTTAGATATTTTAACATTTTGTTTACTATTATTATTATTATACAGTATTTATAAAGCGCCAACAGTTCCCTCAGCAATGGGAGACAGAACATGCAGCAGTACAATAACAATACAATGCGATACACGAGGGGTTCGAGGGCCCTGCTCCTTGGAGCTTACAATCTAGGAAGGAGGGGATAGTGGTACAGGAGGAAATAGCTGTGGGGGATGGAGTGGTAGGAAGAGTGGAGGAGGTTGGGAATTAGCAGGAGGTGGAGTAGGCTTCCCTGACTACCTGTATAACCTGGTTGTCTAAGATTCCTGTATACCTAACAGACTCAGAAAAAAATCCTTTTTTTACAGAGAGTGCAAAATTCAGTTTTTCAGTAGCTGGCTGAAAAGTTACAGCACAGAGTTAAACCATAATTTAAAGGGGGAGAAGAAAGCCAGCAACAATGGTGTAATGATCTCTTTGCTAGAGTCAACAGGCTCTATAACCCAACAGACTACACCTGTAGCTGAAATATCTTTAATGTACTGAATCTTTTAAGAACCATTGTGATGAAATACATTTTAAATGATAAGTTCACCTTTTGGACAAAAATAATAATTGCACATTTTTTTTTTAAGGTAAAAAATTGTGTATTTATCATTTTTGTCCTTAGGAGCCTGCAAAGCATTGCACCAGGTATCAGTAGATCACTCATGCCATGCAGGTCTTCCGCAGATCTGTCAGAATATCTACTTGCCGTACAGGATGTATGAGCAAGCAGTTATACTGACAGGAAGCTTCAGTGAACTACCACAGCGCTCAAGAGCACCGTGGTAGTTCATTGAAAACTACAAACCCACAGCTGCTAAGTCTGTCGGGACTTGTAGGCACTCATTCACAGAACGATGTGAATGAGTGACGCAGCCGTGTGGGCAGAATCCCGCACGTTCACGCTATTTTACAGTCTGGCAGATGGTACGGGGCAAAGTTCCCCTTTCTATCTGTCAGAGAGAGGTGGGGGCAGCGGGCACAGCTGCAGCTATGGGAAAATGTTACATGTTGCACCCTAAAAATGGGTGGAACATGTAACATGTTCCAAATGGGAACTTATCCTTTAATGTAAGTTTTTTTTTGATAACTATAAATTTTTATCTAGTTCCACTGTCATTTGTTTTTACAGCATGTATAGAATGTATTTATGTCATTAAAAAATTCATCTCTTTTCTATATTTTGCAGAATTTTGTATTCTGAGATACCAAAGAAGTTGAAAGAACTTTTGAAAGATGGCTATAAGGTACATCTTAAATTTTGCAGCACATAAGATGAAAGCTGAACTAAAACCTATTGCTTAAGTTGTTTTTCATGTTATTCCTCTAATTTATACATGCATGAAATGCTGTTCCAGCCTCGGGTAGACAGGTCATACACTTTCTCTTTTTATATAAAATGTCAATATATCCTTTTTCATTTTTCTAAGAGAAATATTAGGGCTGTCAAAGTTGACCTTTTTTGGCTTCTGTTTTATGAGCCACTGACCAAGGAATATGCATATTAGGTAACTCAGATGTCCGTTTTGCATGCTTTTTTTGGCCCAGTGGCTGAAGCAAGAATTTTTGAATGACAGCAGCTCCCTGTTGCATTTGAAGAATGACAACTGTGATCTCCATGCTTTTTTTTTTAGCAAAAATTTGTTAGAAGTTATTTCAGCGTTGCCACTCAGGGATAGGTACAAGTTCAATGCTTATGTTCTTGCCCTATCCGTGCATAAATGTTTATATAAGTACCACACAGAGGCTGACCTGTCCTCTGCGCAGAATGAATAACGGACACACACTCTGGGCGTCTGGAGAAGAGTAAGGCCACAACTGCTGCTTCCAATTTGACAGCCATGTGGGCGTGCAGTCCCGATTGTATTATACCAAAAAAATGAGTATGGTGTGTGTGTTTGTCAGGAAAAAATATAGTAAATTGAATTTAAGTTCAATTTGTGTTCAATGAACAGTTGCACAAATATAATGTGACATAAAAATCTGCACGTATCTTTTTATTCAACAGGGCCTCTGCTTTCAGAAATATATAATGTTCTGGGGGTTTAAGTAATTTAATTCCAAAAATAAAGATTTTTATGTGTACAAAAAATGAAAAAATTTGCTCTGGAGCCGAGCTGATTAATGTGGTGATAGATAGGGCTATCTACTGCAACAGCAGATTTCTAAAGTTACTTTTTTATTGGTATCTGTTCATTTTGTCTAACATCTCTCCTTATTTACTGATTTATATTATTGCTGTTCTGTCAGGTGGTTTTTTTTCACCAATCAGATGGGGATTAGCCGTGGTAAACTGAGGCCTGAAGTTTTCAAAGCGAAAGTTGAAGCAATTTTGGATCAACTTGGTATACCTGTACAGGTCAGTTTTAATCACCCCAACTATGATGATAAAAAAGCAGTTGTTTTATCTTGGGGTACTCTTAAAACTCTAAAAACTTTTGTATTACATTCCACACTTAGATGGGATGTTGTATTTCTTAATCATACAGTACAAGACACAGGATCTTTACTCTTTTGCCAGTGTCCAGTCACTTGAAGGTAACTACATATAACACTGTGGTTAAACAGAAAAGCTCCAGGGACATCCCCTTATTATAAACTCTCTCTTTCCCAGATTGCCTCAGTTTTCTTCCAATGTCCTTGGCAATGGACTTTTCTGTACTGCGAAAACGTACCGTTTCCTATGTAGATTGTGAATGATTCTCCTGTCAAGATTCCCGGCTGCACCATAGCCACTGCATCACCTCCTGCAGCTTCTAGATCAGTTGACGCCTCAAGTGAGCCTTGGGGGGACCATACCCAGACCCTGCTTGGAGGAAGATGATGGGCAGGCCTGAAATGTTGATACAGGCACTGGATCCTTTGCCACAGGGTGCAATACAAGTCAAGGGCTGTGGTCTGCCTGCTGCGGAGCCCTGTTGCTGAAGGCCCCTTCATGGGTATGCCCACTGAGAAGGTGTAGCCAGGATGTGGTCTAACCCCTTGCATCTTGTTTGGAGTGTAAAGACATCTGCCATGGTAAGTGCATGGCTTTTGTCCTTTAATTCGGGAAGGGGGCTTTGGCGCTCTTATGCTTCAGTCAGTGAGAAGCACAAACTGCAACCCCTCTAAACATGTTGCAGCTATGGATGACAGGTGTTGGCAATTTAAATGTAACAGTTTCCTTACCCTTTCCTGAGTCTGTCACGTCTGGCACTGCTGTGCATGCATGGTTTTGATCACAGTTGCTTCACTGAGCCACTTTCCTCCTCTGGGTGCATTTTCTCTCACCAGCAGCAGCAATCCAAGGCTGTCTCCAGAGTAGAATATCACAATCCCCAGATGAATACTTGGTTGCAGCAGCCTTAAGTGCCTGGAAAAGAAGGGTTAACACTTCCTTCTCCACAGCAGCAGAGGTCGTGAGTATCCTCCTGTAGATACCTTTACACCACACATGGCAGATCACAAGCGCAGTGCTAAGAGGTCAGATGGCTCCAGGGGAGAGGTGTTAATCTATCAACACATGGCCCTAGTACCCTCTGTTCAGATAGTTACAACCCCTCTGTTTCTCTGCTTTCCTTTGGGTATTCCGCTGGCCTTAAGCTGCTCAGCCTTCCTAAGAGAGAAAACACCACTTCCGGGCCACCAGCCACACACTGCTACAATAGCACGGAACAGGCGCCGACCTAGTTCACATTTGATGATAAGAGAAAAGAGAAGTCCGGACAGCCACTCTACTATTGAATTTACCTTTATTTAGAAAATCGCCTAACGGTAAAAACATGTGCATTTATTATTTTTTTTTAAAAGGTAAACTTACCCTTTTAATACATTTGTGTCTGAAGTTACTACACTGTGTTAGCCTTTCTTTTTATTACTGGGTGGATGTCATCTGTCTAATCCTGAGGTAGGTTGGAGTAGGAGTTGGGAGATATGTGACATCTATTGGAATAGCAAATCTATGTGTGTATGCTTTTCTTTAACCACCTCCCGTCCGCTATATAAGGAGATGACAGGCGCAAGGCGGTTCTCTCGTTCTTGGAGGCATCATATGACGTCCTCCCACTCTAACCGCAGCGATCGGTGGTGCACTGTGTACCTGGGACACAGCGGATCACCGATGAACGGAAAGAGCCGAAGACGTCGGCTCTGTCATGTGATCAGCGGTGTCCAATCACAGCTGACCGCATGTAAATAAGGAAATTCCGGTTATCAGCATTTCTCTCACGAGCTGTCACGCTGACAACTCGTGAGGAGAGGAGAGCCAGTAATCGGCATTCCTCAGAGGGGACATGTACACTGATCATCACGGCACTGATGATCAGTGTAGACCCAGTAGTGCCACCTGCCAGTACCCATCAATGCCACCTGCCAGTGCCCATCAGTGCCACATTAATTCTACATATCAGTGCCTACCAGAGCACATCAATGCCACATATCCGTGCCCTTCTGAGCTGCCTTTCAGTGCCAGTCAGGGCTGCCAATCAATGCCGCCTAACAGTGCCAGTCAGTGCCATATGAGTGCTGCCTTTCAGTGCCCATCAGTGATGCCTGTCAATGCCCATCAGTGCTACCTATCAGTGCCCATCACTGCAGCCTCATTAGCGTACAATAGTGAAGGAGAAAAATCTCTTATTTATAAAATTTTGTAACAGAAACTAAGAAAAACATTTTTTTTTCAAAATTTTCAGTTGCTTCTGGTTTGTTTAGCAAAAAATAAAAAAAACCCAGAGGTGATTAAATACCACCAAAAGAAAGCTCCATCTGTCAAAATTTTTTTTTTTTTAATTTAATATTAGTACAGTGTTGCATGACCACGCAATTGTCATTCAAAGTGCGACAGCAGTGAAAGCTGATAATTGGCCTGGGCAGGAAGGGGGTAGAAGTGCACTGTAGGTAAGTAGTTAAAAAAAAAAAAAAGTGAGGCACTGAGATCTAGTGATTGGGGAGAAGTGGTGGCTTCCCAAGTGGAGTTGTCAAGTTGTTCAAGGCACATCACATGGGGAATTGCACTTTGTTGCATGTTTTGTGGTAGACTTTAATACCTCATGGCTTCCAGGCTTAACAACAAATTGAACAGATCTACAGATCCAGGGATCCCTTAGCCATGGCGGTGGATGTTCTGGTGATTCAGTTGGATCAGTTCAACCTAATCTATGCCCTTTCCTCCTATGAAACTTCCCCCCAGCCTCCTCAGACCAGATCGAGATGGAGGGCATTCCAGTGATTCTCATCACACCAAAACAGCCCAGGAGGACGTAGTGCTCAGACCTCAGCAGACTCTTTATGGGTGATGCCAGCCTACGTGAAAGGTTCTTTAGGTTCTGTTGAGCCACCTGTGTTAAAGTGTTACTAAACCCACAACAGTAAAACCAGTCTGTATATGCAGTAAAGTATGCTTGTTATACTCATTGTGGAACCTAAGGGGTTAATTCTCTACATTGTGTAAAAATGCTGTTTGATCCTGACTTCTTTGAGCCTCCCCTTCATCCAGTGCGTCTCTCTTATCTCCTGATAAGTCATATCATGTGAAGACACATTTTTTTTTTTTCTTGGGAGAGTGCATGTGATCAACACAAGGTCAAACAGCACTGACCAGACAGAGGTCAGGGGTACTGCATCCTCCTAGAGAAAACGCCTCCTGCAAGCTTTCCAGTGCTCTGCTGAACACTGATAGAAGTCACAAGACTTCTGTAACTGCTGATGAGAAAAGGTATTTAGCAGTTTATATTTACTAAGAAAATTGCACTTCCATGTTTTGTGTACTGTGGGAGACCAGATATAGTGAATGCAGGGTCCTGGGTTTAGTAACACTTTAAGCTTTTTTTTTTTTTTTCTTTGGCTTTTAGCATTTTGTTGCTGTGTTGCTACCCCTTGGTTTGTCTTGCTTTTGGATGTTCCAGTGTACCCGAAAACATTATTCTGTGTCCCTTATTGTATGAAAATAGTATTTGTGACTTAACTGTCATGGCCAGAAATATTGGCACTCATATTTCTGTCAAATACACCATAAAATTGTTGCAATTACAAATGTTTAAGCATTCTCTTTTATTTCTTTTGTTTGTATTGGTATAACACAAAAAAGTGGAGAAACAAAAATCTGACACATTCCACGCAAAACTCCAAAAATGGACTGGACAAAATGATTGGCACCCTCAATTTAATTATTGGTAGCACACCCCGTGGAAAAAATAACTGAAATCAATCGCTTCCTGTAACCATCAATGAGTTTCGTACACCTGGAATTCTGGACCACTCTATTTTCGCTAACTGCTGCAGGTTTCTCAGATTGGAAGGGTTCCTTTTCCCAACTGCTGTTTTGAAATCTCTCCACAGGTGCTCTATAGGATTGAGGTCTGGGCTCATTGCTGTCAAGTTCAGTAATCTTAAACTCATTGTCTTAAACCATTCTGGGTGCTTTTTAACATGTACTTTGGGTCATTGTCCTGCTGTAAGACCTTTGACGGAGACCCAATTTTCTGACATTGAGCCCTACATTGCACCCCAAAATGTTTTTGTAGTCTTCAGATTTCAAAATTGCCATGCACACAGTCAAAACATCCAGTGCCGAAAGCAGCAAAGCAACCCCAAAACATCAGTGAACCTCTGCCATGTTTGACTTTAGGGACTGTATTCTTTTTTTTTTTTTTTTTTTTTTTTTTTTTTTTTTTGTAAAGGCTTCTTTCTTTTTCTGAAAACAGTGGGCTTTACCAAAAAGCTGTAATTTTGTTTCATCTGTCAACAACACATGCTTCCTCAGGTAAGTTTTGGCAAACTCCAGTCTGGCTTTTCTATGTTTCTGTGTCAGCAATAGGGTCGTCCTGGGTCTCCTACCATGGCGTCCCTTTTCATTCAGATGGCGAGGTATGGTGTGTGCTGACTTGTTGTACCCTGTGCCTGATGGTCAGCTTGAATTTGTCTGGAAGATGATTGAGGTTCTTTAGCCACCGTTGGAACAATCCTTTGTTGCTATCTTTGATAAATTTTTCTCTATGATCTACGTCCAGGGAGATTAGCTACAGTGCCATGGGCACAAACAATGTTGCGTACAGTGGACACAGGAACATTAAGATCTCTGGAGATTGATTGTGCTTCTCCATAATTTTTGTTCCCAAATCCTCAGACAATTCTTTGCTGCTCTTTCTCTTCTCCATTCCCAATGTGGCACACAGAAACACACAACAGAAAGGTTGAGTACATTTTTCACCATTTTGACTGGTTTCCGGTGTGATTTCTATATTATCAGCACCTGTTAATTGATACACTTTAATTACAAATTACAGGAGCATCACAAACTTGGAATGCAATTATTTCTTACAATTTTGAGAAGGTGCCAATAATTTTATCCAGTCCACTTTTGGAGTTTTGCGTGGAATGTGTCAGATTTGGCTTTTTGTTTCTCCACTTTTTTTGTGTCATACCAATACAAACAAACTAAATAAACACAAGAATGCTTAAACATTTGTAATTGCAACAATTTTCTGGGTGAAGAGGTGCATAATCTGACAGAAATGCAGGGGTGCCAATATTTTTGACCATGACTGTATTGTAAAATCCTTTTCGTACGGTACGTTAAGCAGCACAAGTTCCTCCAATTTGTTTTTATGATCCACTCCTACTGTTTCATGCTACAAAACTGAAGCAGTCTGGGAGTGAAAGGAATTAAAATGGATTGTCTTTACAGCTTTGTTTTGCCAATGCCAAACAGCTTGAAGGCAACAGCATAACCAACAGTGTACCTTAATACTTAATTCATATATATAACAGAAGAGGAGATAAAGGGGGGATATGACGAACATGTATAAATACATCAGTGGTTCAATAGTGAACTCGGTGTACAGCTATTCACCCTGAGGTCATCACAGAGAACAAGGGGGCACTCTTTATGTCTGGAGGAAAAGAAATGTAATCTCCAAACATGGAAAGGTTTCTTCACAGTGAGAGCTGTGAGAATGTGGAATAGACTCCCTCAAGAGTTGGTTCTGGCCAGCTCAGTGGATTGCTTTAAAAAAGGCCTGGATTCTTTCTTAGATACACAGAATATAACTGGATACTAACATTTATAGGTAAAGTTGATCCAGGGAATATCCAATTGCCTCTCGAGGGATCAGGAAGGAATTTGTTTCCCTGCAGGAGCAAATTGGATCATGCTTTGCTTGGTTTTTTGCCTTCCTCTGGATCAACTGTGGGTATAGGATAACTTTTTTTTTTTTTAATGGTTGAACTAGATGGACTTTCCTTTTTTCAGCCAGACTAACTATGTAACTATATTCAGAAATAATATTATACATACATATATATATACACACACACACACACACACACACGTCCTCACTGCAAGTGGCTATAAGAAGTCACACATAGCTGGAGCCGCACAATCACTTTTACTGAAATAAGAAGGACTGCCCACCATCCCTGCACTACCCGTGGTGGTTCTCGGGCTCCCCCACTCCTCTGGGAAGCCTGGGATCAAGGTAAATAGCTGCTATAACTAAACACAGAGGTGATGAAGGAACATCCATTCACCATTCTCCTTTGCCTATATACAGTAACACCTAGGGAATGACAGCTCTGAAATCGATTCTGGCTGCAAGTCAGGAAAACAGCTAATCACGCCCTTTCTGTGCTTGATTAGCTGCATTGGAGTGCAAGAGAGAAATTGTGGGTTTAACAGACTCCAGATCTCTCCATAAAGAGTGCCTGTCACCTGCCCAAAGCTGTCACATAGGAGGCTCTTTAACCCCAATGTGATATTAATAAAGATAAATTTAAAAAAAAACATTTTTTAAAAAGTGTAAAAAAAATTTATTTTTTAAATAAAATAGGTAAAAATAATTGTAAAAATTTGCAAGCATCCCCTTCCCCTCACATATGCACAAATGCCAATGCACTTGTAGGTCTTTAACACAAATGTTAACAGTTTCACCACACATATGAGGTATCTCCACAAACATCAGAGTGAAAGCAGTAATTCTAGAGCCATCATTCTTGTTCAAATTGTTTATTGATAAAAGAAAAGCACAGTAACAACAGACAGGTTAATAAATTTTTGTGAGACATAAAAATGGAACATACAACTGCACAGGGCTGGGTATACAGCCAAAAATCAAACCCTAGTGTGTTAACTCCCTCAAAACAGTGGTTATCTAGCAAGATAAGGTGCAAACTTGACGGTTGAGGAACATGCTGCGTAGGTCTCTAAGTGAGTGCTCGATGGGAATGTAATATTTTAAATCAGTAGGGTTCCTAGGGATTCAGGGACCAAGCAGTTGCTCACTCTTTGGTGCCACTGAGTGGTCTATGGCCATCATTCATGATTAACTCTACATTGAAAACCTATAAAGGCTTTTAAAATGTCACGTATTAAAATGTTAGGTACAATAGTTTGTCAAAAAAATTTACAGACACATGCAGTTTTGAGTCTTAACATGTTTGTTATCTATTTACTCAAACCGACGGCATATTTTAGATTTTACCAAAAAAATGGGTATGGTATTGTGTTTGTACACTAAAATTTATTTTAGTTTATGTTTTCCTGAAAATTTGCATTTGATAAACCATTTTTATTCTCCAGGTCCTCTGCTTTCAGCAAATATATATTTGGTATATTTGGGAAGGGGGGGGGGGGGGTTTCTAGGCAAGTGGGTAATACTCCCAAGAATAGGATTTTATGGTAAGTCAAAAATCCTATATCCATTTGTAGCTAACTTTAGATTTGCTTCTGTAGTTGGATACCGAAAACACCTATGCATCTACAAAATGCTGGTGGGTCATGCTGACCAGTAGCTGCACTGGAAAAACATGAGTGTAGCTGGTGATTCAGTTGCCAGTTCCAGCTCTAGTAACAAAATGTTAAGGAAAGAGTTGTAGCTACTATAAAATCATTTATGTGCCTTGGCCCTTACTTGAAAAATGCTGACCCATGAGAGGGTCCGAATGTGCCTGCACATTAACCTGCCTCTGTTTTTCATGGATACCTTGAGAAATTGAATACAGAGCTCTTGATATAGCTGGATAAAAAGCATTATGTTTCCTTTCAGGTGTTTGTTGCGACTGGTGTTGGACTCTATCGTAAGCCAGTCACTGGAATGTGGGATTACCTGTGGGAAAAGGTGAGACCATTTGCAGTGCTTGTTGTTGTTCTTGTGAAATTCCATAGCTATAAATGTTTGCCTGTAAGCTACAGCTATGCATTAGATCAGGGGTGTCCAACCTGCAGCCCAAGATGGCTATGAATGTGGCCAAACACAAAATAGTAAACTTACTTAAGAATGTTGATTTTATTTTTTGAACTTTTTGTAAAAATGTGTTTACACTTAGCGAACACATGCGGTCGAAGAGCAAATTGACAGTGTCTCTTTACTTGACTTCTATAAGTTTTTTTTTCTTCCCAACGGAAAATATCTCACTCTTCACAATCATGCCTGATTCTGGTCATTTGCTTTTGGCAGCACCTATATTTGTGAGCAACGTTTTTCAAGGATGAAGCACATGAAGGGTAAACTTAGAACAAAAATATCTGATGAGTACCTTGAAAATTCATTGAGAATCGCTACTACATCCATCCAACCAGATAATGATGCAATAGTTTATCAAAATGTCAAATATTGCACACTGTTGTATCAGCTGGTCTCTGTGTAGGACGGATGGATCAGCATGTCCTCAGCAATATTTTTGGAGGCCATGCCTGGACCCATATGGATTGGAAATTGTGGTGTTAGCCTAGAATGTGACTTTTGGGCACTGAGCTCTGCATTGGAGCAACATGCTTTTCACATCCAGAGTTGTGGCACAGCCTCTGGTGTTACCATTTCTCTGAAGACTCATGTAGTGAGTAAGATTGGTCAGGCTAAAGCACTGGAAAGTACCTCACAAGTTGTACAGTTAGCCACTTCTGGTGGGTTTGAGACTGAGGGAATTGAGCACTGACATAATGTGCGGCTTTCCTCCGCTAGAGGAAACACTTTGCAGCTGTTGCTCTTCCTTCCTGAAGCACCATGTGGATCATGCATTCTCATAACTGCCCACCTACAGCCACTCTTCTTTTGCTAACTGCTCCAGGTCTCTAAGATTGGAAGGGTTCCTTTTACCAAATGCTGTTTTGAGATCTCTCCACAGGTGCGCTATGGGATTGAGATCTGGACTCATTACTGTTCAGTTCAGTAATCTTAAACTCTTTGTTTTCAAGCATTTCTGGGTGCTTTTTGACGTGTGCTTTTGGGTCCTGCTGTAAGACCCATGTCCTTTCATGGAGACCCAACTTTCTGACACTTGACCCTACATTGCACCCCAGAATTCTTTGATAGTCTTCAGATTTCATAATGCCATGCACACGTTAAAGACATCCAGTGCCTGAAGCAGCACAGCAACCCCAAAACATCAGTGACCCTCCACCATGGTTGACGGTACGGACTGTATTCTTTTCTTCAACCACCTCCCGCCCGCCATATAGTAATATGACAGGCGCAAGGTGATTCTCTCATTCTGGGAGGACGTCATATGATGTCCTCCCATTCTCACTGCGCATGCGTGGCTCAGGGAGTGTGCAGCGCGGCAATCGGCGGTGCACTGTGTCCCTCGGACACAGCGGATCACCGATCACGGAAAGAGCCGAAGATGTCGGCTCGGTCATGTCATCAGCTGTGTCCAATCACAGTCAATCACATGTAAACAGTGTCCATCAGTGCCTTATGTCAGTGCTCATCAGTGCCTCGTGCCAGTGCCCATCAGTGCCACATATCAGTGCACATCAATGCCACATATCAGTGCCCATCTGAACTGCCTTTCAGTGTCACACATCAGTGCCAGTCAGTGCCACCTATCAGTTCCAGTCAGTGCTGCCTATCAGTGCCATGTATCAGTGCTGCTTTTCAGTGCCCATCAGTGATGCCTGTCAATACACATCAGTGCCACCTACCAGTGCCTCCTCATCAGTGCCACCTATCAGTGTCCATCAGTGCAGCCTATCAGTGCCCATCAGTGCACCCTCATTAGCGCACATCAGTGAAGGAGAAAAATCACTTATTTACAAAATTTTATAACAAAAACTAAGAAAAAACTTTTTTTTCCAAAATTTTCAGTGGATTTTGGTTTGTTTAAGAAAAAAGAAAAAACCCAGAGGTGAATAAATACCACCAAAATAAAGCTTTATCTGTCACAAAAAAAATGATAAAAATTTCATATGGGTACAGTGTTGTTTCACCGCGCAATTGTCATTCAAATTGCGACAGCGCTGAAAGCTGGAAATTAACCTGGGCAGGAAGGGGGTATAAGTGCCCTGTAGGCTAGTGGTTAAAGGCTTAATTTCTTTTTCTGAAAACAGTAGAATGATGGGCTTTACCAAAAAGTTGTATTCTGTTTCATCTGTCCACGGCACATTCTCCCAAATATTTTTGGCTTCCTCAGGTAAGTTTTGGCAAACTCCAATCTGGAATTTTTATGTTTTTGTTGTCAGTGGGGTCTTCCTGGGTCTCCTACCATAGCGTCCCTTTTCATTCAGATGGCGACATATAGTGTGATCTGACACAGTAGTACCCTGTACCCAGGCAATCCTTCGTTGCAGTCTGTGATCAATTTTTCTTTTTCATCCACGCCCAGGGAAACTAGCTACAGTGCCATGGGCTGTAAACTTTTTTTTTTTTATAATTAACATTTTATTGAGTTTTCACACATATAAATATACATGAAACTTTAAAACAAACTGAGAAGAAGAGAGAAAAGAGAGGTTCATCAATGATAAAAACATGTAAGGATATAAAAGAAGAAATAGAAAAAAAAAAACATACAATGTCAATGAAACAACAGTGGAAAAAGAATCAAATCAGTACATTTTGAACAAATTGAGCAGAGATATAGGTACCCCATGGATTCCATACAGTTTCAAATATGGATACAGAGCTGGCATAGTGAGTGGTTATTCCATTTTTCTAATGTCTGTAATAATCTTAAATAATGTCGGTAGTGAGGGGGGTGTGGAAGAGAGCCAACATATCGGGATGCTTCTCCTGGCTGCCGTCAGAAACATGCATGGAGAGTTTCCTGGACAATTTGGGGAGGCCTGGGAAGGGTAGGCCCAAAAAAAAGTAAAGGGGTTCAAAAGGAAGGTTGGTACGTAGTAAAGAACGTAGCAGGGACCATACATACTCCCAAAAGGGAATGATAGACCTACATTCCCAAAAAATATGGTAAAGAGATCCAGATTCTCTCCCACATTGCCAGCAGGCAGGAGAAGCACCCAGGTTACGGGCATGGAGTATATCAGGTGTTCTGTACCAAAACATCATGATTTTATACACATTTTCTTTATAGACTACGCATATGGAAGATCTAGATGCGTTTTCCCATATCTTTTTCCACGGCACCAAATCACAGCTGAGAAATTGGGACCATTTTGCGCATATAGTGGTGGGTGTCATTGGATAAGGGGTAGGCGTCCATAAGGAGCTTATAGGTAGTGGAGATTATGCCCCTTTGATGTGGGCCCTGTATACATAGACGCTCAAAAGGAGTAGGGTTTTCAAGGGTCAAAGAGGGTGACAAGGTAGAAAAGAAATGGCGTATCTGCAAATAGATGTAAAAATGCTGGGGAGGAAGATGGACTTTTTTCTGGATAACAGAAAAGGGGTTAAGTGCCTGAGTCACCAGGTGGATCAGATGGCGCAGTTGGAAGAGATTGGCTGAAGCCCAAGGGAGCATACGGGACATGGCCAGACTGTCCAGAAGGATGGGATTAAAAAGAACATTGGTTAAAGGAGAACAGTCAGAGGCCAGTGCAAATTTAATCTTGCATCTCTTCCAAATAGACAGGGAGAATTGCATAAGTCCAAGCAAGAGGTGTCGATAAGAAGTGATATCCACCGCCGACGTAGACCAGAGAAAGGAGCATGGGTGAATCGGGGTTAGTTGTAGGGATTCAATCTCTGACCATATATTGGGAGGACGTCGGGTGGACCAGGAGAGTAGGAATCGGAGGTGGGTAACAATAATAGGTCACAATATCCGGAACACCTAGGCCTTCCCTGGAACGCAAGGTGAGAAGTACAGTGAGTGCGATTCTATGTTGTTTATCATGCCAGATAAAGCATGAAAGGGATTTCTGAATGGAGTGTAGCTTAGACATAGGGATGGGAACCGGAAGAGTCACGAATAGATATAAGAGTTTGGGCAGTATGTTCATTTTTATCATGTTGATGCGGCCAAGGTAGGAGATGGGTAGGGTGTCCCAGAATTTTAGAGATCGGGAAATGGCAATGAATAAGGGAGGGAAGTTAGCCTTGTATATACAGTGGTATAAAGAAGTGAGGTTGGTACCCAAGTACTTTAAAGAGTGAGTACACCAATGATATGGATAAAACGATTGGAGAAAGGACAATACGTCGGGTGGGATGTGTAAAGGAAGTACCTCAGTTTTGGATGCATTGACTTTATATCCCGACAGAGCCCCAAATAATTGTAAAGTTTTATGGAGAACCGGTAGGGAAGTAGGACGGTTTGTTAAGGTAAGGAGGATATCGTCTGCAAATAGGGACAATTTGTATTCATGCTCATGACAATTTATCCCGCGTGTATCAGGGTTGAACCGAATGGTGATAGCCAGCGGTTCCAGACAAAGGATAAACAGTAGGGGGGGAAGCGGACAACCCTGCCGTGTACCGTTTGACATTTGGAAGGAGCGTGAGAGGAACTATGCTAATCTGACCTGTGAAGAAGGTGAAGAATAAAGAACCTTCAAGGCAGCCACAAATGGACCCCGGAAGCCAAACTTCTCCAAGACCATAAACATATAGGGCCAGCTAAGGCGATCAAAAGCTTTCTGAGCGTCCAAGCTCAGTAATATAGCAGGAGTCGAGGATCGGTTAACCAAATCAATCAAGTCAACGGACCCCCTGGTGTTGTCCGCGGCATGTCTAGCTGGCACAAAGTCCACCTGATCCCTATGTATGAGCTTGGAGATGACTCTGGACAACCTGTTGGCCAAAATCTTAGTAAATATTTTATAGTTGGAATTCAATAGAGCGATGGGGCGATAGTTAGCTGGGGTAGAATGATCTTTATCAGGCTTGGGAATTACAGAAATATATGCCTGGGAAAATTATGCCTGGGGGGCGACGCC